GGAAGGCTGTTTGTCTTTCTGGCAAATCCAATTTCAAATGCCAAAAATCTGAATATTAATTTTTTTCTTCGTGTTTCTTTTGCTTGCCGGCCCTCTTCAGACAGATGGGTACTTTACATCAGCTGGGGAAAAAAGACGTTATTGGGGAGGCAAAAGAGAATATTGCTAATTAATATTCCTAAAAACTATTACCCTTGGCTTCAGCCATATGCTGCTATAGTTTGTATGGAAATTAAAATGCTAAAACCATTTTCACATATCTGCTTAAATGTCATTTAAACTTAAAACCCTGTAAAGTATCCACTTTATGGATGAGGTCATTGAGGTCAAGTGCACTCTGCCAGGGAGCAGCAGACCCACAGGCGGAATGCCTGACCTCCCGCCATCCATTGCAGGGCTTTTTACTCTGCCAGACAAAGGGGACATGGTCTGACCATTTGGGAAAGAGAACCAAATCAATGAAGTTGCCTCATAATGTACAGTACCTGATAAATATTGTGCTTCCTGAGCAGTTTTGCCTGTTATTTTTATTAAAAATATGTTTTTAATCTCTTCTAATATCTGCCTCCCTAGCAACTAGGTCATTTTATCCTCATTTTACTGTTCTTCTCTCATTAGCATCTGCCACTTGGTACCTTTTGCCATGTGCTTTTGGTTCATCTTGTTCTGATTTCGTTTCCTGGTGGTTTATCACTTTTTTAACCAACTCTTCTTTTCACCTATTCTGATTCTGGGCTTCTCATTTGACTTCATGATTTGATGGCCGCTTTGCTAGCCCAATGAGGGGAGCATATTCCCGCGAAAACAGCAGACCTTGATTTCCTTTTGTCTGTGTGCACACGGCTCCCAGCCCTGAACTGTGGAACTCAGAGAACACCCACTGGAAAAGGATGTAGCAGGGAAATAAATACATAAGTAGAAAAAGAAGATGGGGAACTATCATTTAATTTCAAAGATGAGAATGAACAAAGTAAGGGGTCTAATTAGACGTGAACCAACTAGCAACCTGGCCTCCAGGCAGATTTCCTGAATGGCTGTTTTCTGGGAGCGAGACTGAAAAATTTGTGATGTCCTTGAGGAGTGGGGAATGTGACAGCTCAGAGCTGAAGGCCATGCGGAGTATCTCACTTTATAAAACGTATGCACCTGGCCCATGAAAAGTATTGAATAGAAGCTTCCTGCTGCCTGTGGGTGTCTATCTTTCCCTAAATTCCCTAGAAGTTTCCCAATTCATGTTTTATCAGTGAAGATGGATTTCACATTTTCTTCCTAGAATATATGAAGATAGTAAAGACATTTGATGTCTTGAAAAGTCTAAGTACCGGGAACTATTGTCTATTCTTTTGCCTGGCTGATGTCCTCTCACGTTGTCAAGAGAGGAGAAGTTTGAGAATTTGGGTTCTAGCTAAATTTGAGCAATACCCCTAAGTCCCAGGGCCTGGCTGAGTTGGGAGAAAACCAGAGTGCCTTATAGGTTCCTACCATACAGTTTCCTAACCTCCAGTGCAGGGGGGCAGCTTACCTTCCTGGCCCACCTCTTAAACCTGTGTTTGGAATTGCTGCTGATTCCTGATTTAGACATTTATCCTAGAACACTGGCTAAAAATACATTGGCCACATGTAAACATAAATATTTACTAGCAGGAAAAAATGACCATGTTTTTTCCTTGTTAAGTGAGCTATTTACATTGTTGTACTGAGAGTCTAGAGTTACTCTCCTAGGTTGCTGAGGCTTATGTGAAATAGATACAGCCTCTCTGCGGAATGAGACAGTGGGTTTCAAGTCCATGCCTTTTGACTCAGTAGCACAGTGTATACTAAATCATCAAGATTTTGCCTAATGATCTGTCTGGGAGATATTCACTGCAGCTTCCCAATAAGCAGGATGAATTATCATTCATGCATGAGACAAAATACAACCATCAGAAATATAGGCAAGTACATATGTAGTTTTAAACATGAAGGATTTTCATGATATCTTATTGAATGAATAAATCAAGTTCGCAACAGTAAATACATACAAGATATATGAAAAGTATGTACATATGCATAGAAGAAATATTACCAAGTATGAACCAAAAGGATAATTATTTCTGGATAGTGTGAATAATAGTGATATTAATTAGAAATGGATAATTTTATTTTCCTGTCTTCTGCAATAAACAAGTATTACTCCTCCAAAAGAACATTCCCGAGCCCTGCAGCTGTCCTCTGGAGCACACAGAGTGGACACGGGTCTGATGCACTTGGGTCAGCAGGATGCCGTGTTCCCCGGCAAGAGTTAGGGCATCAGCAACAATGCAAGGTGCTGATGGTACACTGTTGATTCAGACAGAAAGATGTGGGTACAGTGGATTCAGGAGCGAGGCCAGCTTTAGAAGAACTTTGCAGATTGGGCCATATTTTTACTCTCTTTAACCAGAATGCTCTGATTTTGTTGGATAATTATTTACCTTACCTACCTTTCAATGTACAGAAGATACCCATGCACAGAAATTCAGTGCCCCAGAAATGGAGCCCTGCCATTAACCCTGTAGAGAGTCCTGGGGGTTCCCCCATTCCCATCTTCTTCCTCTCCCACCCCCACCCCAGAGCAAACCATGGCCCTGACTGTTTTATCTTTGCCTTGCTTTCCTTCATAAGTCTATTCGTAAACAATATTTTACTTAGTTTTGCGTGGTTTGGAGACTTCATATACGTGGAACCGTACTTTGTGCGCTTCTGCAGCTTTCACTCAGTGTCTCATTCCCAAGTTTCTCCCGTGTAGAGTGTGTGTCTGCGGTTCAGTCATTTCATTATTGCCCAGCCTTGTGTAATGAACCACGGTGTATTTATGAGTTCTTCTGTTTATGGACTTTTGCATGATTTGTGTTTTTTTGCTACCATGAAAGTTCTTATTAATGACCTCTGATATTCATGTGTAAGTGTCTCAGGTATATATCAATACATGGGTGTGGAATTGCTAGATTGTAGGGTGTTTAAATGTTCAACTTTCTTACATAATGTTAATTATTTTCCATTTCTTTCTATTTATATTCTTGCCAACAGTTTTGAGGCTTTGCTTCCTTCACAGAGTCACCAACTTTCAGTAAAGTCAGACTTTTACCGTATTGCTAATCGAGTGGGTGTGAAATGGTTTCATGTGCATTTCCCTGAACATCAATGAAGTCGAGCTTGTTTTCTTGGGTTTATTAACCATTTGTGATTTCTGCCTATAAAGAATCTGTTGGGTCCTTTGGATTGTTTTTCTATTGGGTTATTAACATTTTAAAAATTGTTTTGTAGGGATTCTTTATTTTCTGGGAACTAATTTTTTGATAGTTGTACCTGTGAAAGATACCTCCTTCCAATTAGTGGATTGTCTTTTCATCTTCCAAGTGTGTTTGATGAAGAGACACTTAATCTTTATTCATCTTTTCTTTCATAGTTGCCTTTTTCTGTGTCTTGTTTAAGAAATCCCTTCCCACCTAGAGGTTCATAAATGTAAATTTCTATGTTGTCTTCTGTAAAGTTTGATTTTTCTGAGTGGTAAGGATGTTCAGTATTACTTCTCTATGGATAACTGTTTCAAGACAGCTTATTACAAAACCTTCCTTTCCACAGAGATGTTCAGGTGCCAGCCGTGTCATAACTCATATCGTAAATGGAGCTTCCACGTATGAGTGGGTCTGTTCCCTGGGTCCCCCCAGGAACACATGCATTTGAGTTGGCCAGATGCTGAGGGACTCCACTAGGAAACTTCTTTATTTTTTAATAATGAGGCTTTCTTTCACATACCAAGTTAGACGTTGAACTATGCGGGGTTAGTCCGTGACCTAATGATATCGTAAAGAACCCAGGCACGTCCCATCTTCCTTTTGCCAGAATTCATATGTCTGTAATAGTTCCTCACAGCTGCAGCTGCTCCAGATTCCACGTCTGCACTTTACCACATCCAGAGTGCAGAAAGGGCTTCGTGCCCTGAATTCTTATCACAAGGTTGCTTTGGACCACCCAGGTAGGAGCGTTGAAGTTGCTAGTGTACACACAGCCCCATTCAGGGTTATGATCCTCAGGGGATGATCTTTTGGTCTGTCCAGTAAGTGCTGTGAATCAAGGCAGGGAGTCTGCCCTGCAGGTCCCTGTGTGGACCGAAAGTATGTATTTCCTGTTCACCTTACTTTTCAGGTGCAGCACTGGGAGGCAGATTTACATAGGGGTCTCACCTTAAACTCCTCTCCTTAGGTGGGCCTGGACTTTATTCTCTACCCTCTGGACCCCATGAGACAGTGAAAGCTAAAGCTGGAATTCATCTTGGTGGCAAATGGAGAACTAATGCAAACTTACTTTGTCTACATCTCTGGCTTCCCACTTTCACTTAGCTTTTTGGCTTTTTAGTATTGTTTTCCTTCTTGGAAGCTCATGTTTACCTTCTTGGAAACACATTTAGAAAGATTTTATTTGGAAATGTTTATTTTTTTAGGAGGAGGGTCAGTGTATCTAGTCCTTCAAACTATGGAACTACAAGTTGGCTAAATCCATTTTATAAATTTTTAAAATATAAAAATATTTTAATTTTATACCTTTTTCAATTGCAGTTGAGATATTAGTTTCAGGTGTACAGCATAGTGATTAGACAGTTACATAATTGACAAAGCGGTCCTCTGATAGATCATCCTAGTACCTACCTGGCACTATGCAGTTATTACAATATTATTGACTACATTCCCTATGCTGTACTTTCAAATTTTTTATTTAAGTATAGTTGATATACAATATTACTTTTGTTAGTTTTAGGTGTACAATATAGTGATTGGACATTTTCATACCTTACAACGTGATCACACCAGCAAACTATCTATAATATTACGGACTATATTCCCCTTCAGCTTTTTCACCCACCCTCCCGTCCCCCTGGCAACCATCTCTTTGGTCTCTGTTTCTATGAGTCTACTTTTGTTTTGTTTTGCTTGTTCATTCATTTTAAAAATCACATTATATTTTACTGATCTTGCCTAAAGGTTTGTTGGAGGCGGAACCATTGCAAGGAAGAGATGAAGATGCAGTAGCCAGTGCTGACTTCTCTAGCATGCTCTCTGAGGAGGAAAAGCAAGAGTTAAAGGCAGAATTAGTTCAGGTATGTTTAGTAATTGTATTGTTGTTATGTCTATCTCTGGATCTTGAGAGTGACCATTACTTAGATATAAGTCCCATATTACAATGGTTAGATTTCATTCAGTAAAATTTAATAAATTATGTGTTGCAAGATGATTTATTTTGGGGGGTGGGCATTTTGTAGTGCTAATTGTCCATTATTTTTTGGTAACAGTATGAACATGAATGGTTATACTGCTTAAGCAATAATGACAATTAGTGGTAAATAGGCATCTCTCATTCTTTTTAGTATCACAATACTATGGGAAAGATAAATCACTCACAAACCTGTGGAATTCCTTCAAGACCTAGGTGCAAATACGAACTGCTTTTTAAGAATAATTCTTGTTTTAGGTCAGCAACTTAGCTCAACAAATACTTTGAAATGATTTGATTTTTAATGGAAAAGTCAATCATAAAGCAGCAGAATTTTATTGAGTCATGTGCTCTTTTGCAGAAGAAAAGAATAAAGCTCTGGGGATAGAGAGGAAAGCTGTGATGAATGTAGGCTTCATTAGCTCTCAGGTAGTTGTTGGGGCACCTGGACTTAGAGGCGAGGTGGATGCCTGGCTCATCGTGAATATGAGCCTTTGTGCAAGCTTTTTCTTTGCAAAACGCTTAAGTCCTTTGCTAAGGAGTGGTTGGTTATATTACAGGAGGAAAGGGCTGGACACAGGGAGTTTCCCGAGTAGAATAAGCAGCAGGGCAAGAGGGATGAAGCCAGTATCCTCTTCCCATTCTGAATCCCTGGCTCAGAGGGCAGGAGGCCCCTGGAAGGAAGGCTTTGCCCCCTTGCTCTGGCCTCTGCTGCAGGCTAGGGACAGAGCTCTGAGATCCACCTGACCCTCACCCTTTGTCCACTCCAGACTCCTCAAGTTCTAATATTCTGATCCTGTGTATTCATGACAGTACATAATAATATTAAAGATTTTTCAGGGGCTTTCACAAGACACACCCTAAAATAACTTAATTATAAAGTAAAAGAGTAGCTTGTTCCTCCAGTACAGCAGAAATTATTTTAGTAAGTACAATACCTCAAATCAAATAGCATTTTTCTTTAGCTGGGTTTGTCTATGGCCACTGATCCAGAACTACTCAGTTTACTTCAGTTTGGCCACACATTCCAGAGTGCACCAACCAAGGTCAGCCTTCAACTGAGACTATGCCAGCTCCACATTTTCTTAAAGCTTGGAATTCTGGTTCATGACCTGTTCATGTCAATTGTGCTGTCCAAAAGTTATATTCTGTAGACCAGTGTAAGTAAACTGATTCTATGCTAAAATTTAACTCCTTTGTATAATAGTCCAGCTTAAATTCAAATATAACCTCTGACCAGCTTTTATAAAATGAGTTAATTCTTCTGGGTTCTGAGATTACTGGGTTATGCATAAATATATATGTATATCAATGTGTTTTTGTGAATTCCATATTTTCTAAATGTTCAACAGTGAGCGTGTATTACCTTTGTAATCAAGAAAAAGTAAGCCTGGTTTCTAACTGGAGACCCTGTGAGTATAAGTAACCAGCCATGCTCTCAGAAATTACTATCTTCTTTGGCCACATTCATAAGCTTCCAGTGTACCTCATTCCTAGCAGTTTTTGAGCCTGACTTCTGAAAATAACACCTGTTACTTGTTCATGGTACCAGGATTTATGTTTCCATCCTTCAGAATGCGCTAGCCTCCATTCCTGCTGTCTCTTATTTCTGAATTCCTCAGAGATGAGGGAGTATTGCGACTTGCCAAAGTAGCATTGTGACCCCCATGGGCACAGCTGTATGCCCCAGGACAGTGGAAAGCGAAAGAAGTACGTCTTTGCTGTTCTCCCTCTTCACGTTTCATGTTGTCTCCCACCTCCTCAGGCCACTTCAGTTTTGCTCATTCTTTTCTTCAGTCTTTTCTCTGGGCCCTTCTACAAATACTGACAAGCACATGTGCACACATACACATATACAAGAAAAAATCAGGTTCTTTCAGAACATACATGCATTCAGGTGCTAAGATTTAATTATAACGAGGACATGCAGAAAACCACCTCAACAGTCGCACAGCTGGCCCGCTGAGGAACTGAGAGACCTTTTAAACGTGCAGCTTCTCTGCTTCCACTCTCCAGATATTTCTCCTGGGCCCCTGGTCTCAAGCAACCTCTCTCTGTGTCTGAGGGAAGATCCTGCTTGGTTCGTTAGCCACTAGGGTAACAGAACACTTCACGAGCCTACCTATTAGATTGCCTTTGAGTCAGCCATTTGGTTGTGGCTGTGATCTAAAGCCAGACCTCTGTGTACAAGGACTTCTTATCTCTGGGTGCTTTGCTTAAAAGGGATCTTGCAGTGAGCCAGTCTCCTCTTAATTCACTCCTCTCCCTAGTTTCCTGAGGTTCTCCTGCTGTCTTCTGGCTCTGCTGGCTCCCTCCCACTGCCTTATCCTCACTGTTCTTTGTTTATATTGCTCTGAGGATCCCTCTAGACTTCTGGAAAACTCCTCATTTCATTCACCCACACCACCAACCTATTGTGTGCTTATGAAGTGCTGGCGATAGGGAGACCTGTCCTCATGGTGGGAAGCATAAAACAAGCCAATAATGTCCCAAAGGCTACATCTTAGACAAAATCTGCATTTTAAAAGAGGAGTCTGTTGTGAACACAATTAAGTCATTAGTTTATGATTGTGGCCACGTGATGTGAGTGTTTGTAAAATTTCCTTCAATGTGAGGCCAACATCACCTCTGATCTGATGCAATGATAGCAGATGCACAGTAGGATTTATAATTAACTCGAATTATTCTAGAGCTTCAATGAATATTCATATATGTAAATACCAGAAGTAGATTATGCTTTTTTATAATCTTACCAATATATTACAAATACTATTTTATGTCAGAGTTTTGTTCTCATTCATCATATTACCAGTTGCTCCTGACATCTCTGAGGACTTTGCACGTCTATTCTGTGGGTTTTTTCCTCTGTTTCCCTTTTTAAACAAACTTTCTCAATATTTCCGTGCTTCGAACATCCTACTCCCACTTTCATTTCACTAAGCGCTATTTTATGCTTTGTATTCCATAGTGTGACTTGGCTTTTGAAACGGATGTGAAGTGTTGGCATTAGTACCATAAATTTGTGTTATGTAACAACTGAAGACTGCCAATGTCCCCTTGATAAAATGACTCAAGAAAAATGGGCATTAATAGGATTAGGAAAAATACCAGACAGCATTATGAATTAAGCAGAACCCACTCTCAAGCTCTCTTTGTATCCTTTCTTGGCTCTTCTCTCTTCCTTGGCTGCGTGGTTCTCCAGGAAGAACACACAGTGCCCTCAAGCTCCCATCTCTTAGACTTACAGACTCCATTCCTTCCTTCAAGACCTTTCTTCTTTCTGCCCTAAGCTAGTGTTCATAACCGATGTCTTATTGTAACATTCTTCTGTATCAGTCAGGATTCTCCAGAGAAACAGAAGCAATAAGATGTCAATGGAAATAGATTTATTATAAGGAACTGGCCGCTGTGATGATGGAGGCCAGCAGGTTCCAAGATTTACAGTCAGCAAACTGGAGACCCAGGGGAACCAATGGCGCAGCTCCCTTCAGAAGGCTGGCAGGCTCAAGGCCCAGGGAGAGCTGATGTTTCCATTTGAGTATAAGAGCAAAAAACAAAAATCAAAAAAACGCACCACAATGCCCTGGCTCCAATGCAGTCAGGCTTCAGGCAGGAAGAGTTCCCTCACTTGAGGAAGGGTCACCTTTTTAGCTCTATTTAGTCCTACAACTGGTTGGATGAGGCCCACCCATGTCCAGAGGGCCATCTGCTTGACTCATTCTGCCAATTCAAATGTTAATCTCATGCAGGAACACCCTCACAGACACACTGGAATGATGTTTGGCCAAGTGTCTGGATACCCCCATGCCTCAGTCAAGTTGAGACAAAATGAAGCATTGAACCCTCCTGCATGGTATCTGCATTTTAACCTTAGTTCTTCCGAACTGTTAGCTAAAGCCAGGCGTAGCCAGGTGGAGAGGCAGACCTTGAAGCACTGTGTGCGAGCGACCAGATACTCTTCATTAATAGATTATTAAAATGTTTCTTTCTTGGGTTTTAGTAGATATTTTTTGTAATCTAGAAAATAACGTAGAAAAGTAAAATTTCAGACTTCTACTCATAAATTTCATGTTGGAGGTAATCATTAATTTGGATTAGTTAATTTATGTTTGTTTACATTTTCATTGAAGTAAATTGATATAACAGAAAATTAACAATTTTAAGCTGAACACTTCAATGGCATTTAGTACACTTACAATGTTGTGCAATGGCCACCTCTATCTAGAACCAAAATATTTTCATCACCCCAAAAGGAAACCCCATTCCCATTGAGCGGTTGCTCCCCATTTCCCCTTCTTCCCTGCAACCACCAATCTGCATTCTGTCTCTAGAAATTTACCTATTTGGAATATTTCATATAAGTTGAATCATTTTGTGACCTTTTGTGTCTGGCTTTTTTCACTAATGTCTTTTGAGGTTCATCTATGTTGTAGTATGTCTCAATACTTCCTTTTTATGGCTGAATAATATTCTAATAGGTCATATGATAATTCTATGTTTAACTTTTTGAGAAACTTCCAGATGTTTTCCACAGTTGGCTGAACCATTTTACATTCCCACCAACACTGCACAAGTGTTCCGGTTTTTCCTCATCTTGGCCAATAATTATGTTCCTGTTAATTCATATTTAAATAATCAAATTTAAATATCTAACCTTGCACATAAATATTTATCCTATGATCTTCTATGGAGTCAAGAAACCAAAGAACCAGACTATTAGTTTTTTAATGAAGACACAATTAACTTAAAATTAGAGGGAAAAGAATATATTACATGCTTTAATGATTTACCTACACTCCACCTCATTCTAAAAAAAGGATTTATATTTATGTGTGTGTGTGTGTGTGTGTGTGTATCATACAAGATACTTAAAATATAGCATTTCAGTTCTACTTACATCAGAATATCTGGGATGCTTGTTAAATATTGTATGTCATCTGACCCCAACACATTCAAGACATCAGAATCTCAGGGCTTTAAAAAGGGCATACATCTAGAACCTGCATTTTCAGTATGCTCTCTGAGTGACTTTTATGTAAACTGAAGTTGAGAACCATTGAGTCAACCAGACCAAAAAAATCTCCTTCGTCACAAGGATCGCCATGGAAAGCCTTCCTGCCATGGCAGGACTGACCCTCTGCTTTGTAGAAAGAGATGCGGTTGGCTATTTTCAATCTCACAAGTTAATGCAATTTAAGATTATATGTTTTTCACTTCCAGGATCTGCTTAATAGATTTTTGGCATATATTGAGATCACTAATAAGTATACTGAAAGCTTTATGAAGTGTGAGTCTTACATTTTATTGAAATGGAGAGAATTTTATTATAGAACCTGAAAACAGACCCAGCTGAAGAACCAGGTGTGGCTTTCCAGCATTAGGAGCCTCTTTCCAACAAATGCCTTTTAACATGTGCTTTGATTTTTAAAAAATTATTAAATGTGAGACATTTTGTTTCTTTTTTTAGGATGATATTTGGTAAATTGGTCACCTCAATGTTTGTCAATATTTTGGGATCGAGGATTTCACTAGAAAACTATGAATCCTTTACTCACCCCTCCCAAATAACTAATAAATATTCTACTACCCCCAAATTTTGAATACATTTCTGGGATTCCATAGTTATGAGGCTGAGAAAATCAAGGTGGTTAAACCTCCTTCTCTTTCTCTACATCTGCAATTTCTTTCTGCAAATTAAAAATGTTCCCATTTTTATTACAGGGTGGAAACTATTGTAAAGCCTAATGTAACAGCAACAACAACAACAAAAAAATCCAGATTCTCAGTGATATCAGGCACTTGAAACATATTATTTTTCCAGAAGAAAGCAGAAAAAGCCTTTCTAGTACAGAATAAAGGCTGACAGGTAGTCAGAGCATTTTCTTTGTTAAAAGCTAGAGAATCAACCTGGAGAATTAGTAGACAGATTAAATGCAAGAAGACACACTGAAATAGATGAAAAGGGAGAGTATAGCATGATAGCAAAAGAAGAAAAGGGTTTAATTTTTAAAATAACAGTGTGTTTTCATTCAATGGAAACACTAAAAGCATTATCCCCTTTCTGGTCTCTGAGTATAATCCTTTCACAGTAATGAGTATACATTTGCATACTGAAGACTCCACTTCAACAAGAAAAGACAGAGTTCTGTTGCTCATAACATGTTTATGGAAAGTGTAATTCATTTTAAAAAGATTTCCATGAGCATAAAAATAAATGTAAAAAAATGGATGTTAAATTATCCAGTCATTTTGTTGATATTAAGACCCCAAGATCCTGTTGTTTTCTACTGTAGTATTTAAGATGCTTCTGATTCAGTATTTCTGCCTGTTTTGCTTAAGATATTATTTGTGTATATGAATGTTCACAACACTACTCCTTTCTGTTCCCCATTGGGGCAAAATCTTTCTTGCACTTATAAAAAGATGAATTTTTGCAAAGTTAGATGTCTTTCTCAAGTGGCTTTTCTAGCAGCTGTGTCTCTGGTGACCTAAGGAACATGTTTGCAAGATGACTGATGGGGTTAGTGTTGCACTTTGTGGTCAGAAGTAGGGTGATAGTTTGAATGTAAATGGGACACGGCTGCTCCATTTTTTTAAGTAAGAAAAACAGTAAAATGTTAGGCTTTTATTACCTCTATGCATGCGGATACTCTTCTGGTTTCACAAAGAAGGTCACAAGTATTTATACTTTTCAGAAACCAAAGATGTAAATTTAAGCAATACTACCAGGGTGGTACATTATAACATACGAGTACAACAACCAGTTAGAATCAAATACTTTGTGAAGGTTCAAATTTATTTTCATGGGATATAGCAACACTCTCTAAAATCTGGGTGTTTCATAGAACTCTTTGTTAGAAATTAAATTGCAAAAGCAATTTTATAATACTGAAAAAGGAAACATGTCCATACAAAGCCTTGTTCATTAATATTCATAGCAGCTCTATTTGCATTAGCCAAACTTAAGTGTCCTGCAGTAGGTGAACAGATTTAAAAAAAAAAAGTGGTACATCAATGTAATGGAATACTATTCTGCCATAAAAAGAGAACAACCACTGATAATGCAGCATCATGGATGGATCTCAAATAACGTCAAGTAATTAGGTTGAATGAAAAAAGCCAGGCAAGCATGAGTATATACTGTGTGATTCAATTTATATAAAATTGTAGAAAATGCTTAATAAACTCTAGTGAAAGAGAGATCAGTGGCTGCTGGGTGAAGGGGGAGAAGGAGGGAGGAATGACAGAGGTGCGCTAGGAAACTTTTGAAGGTGATGAATTGATTGTGTTCACTGTCTTGACTGTGATGACTTTGCAGGAGTATACATATGTCAAAACCTACGTTTTGTACACTTTAAATGTGTGCAGCTTGTCGTATGTCAATAAAATTGTTAAGAAGCAAAAGCAACACAAACCTCTCCCTTGCATGCATCGTCTCCTCCCTGTTCCTCCCGGCCTAACATACTAGCTTGGCAAAATCTCGGTGTCTGCACTAATGCAGCTGTGTGCCATGAGACAAAACAACAACAAGCAACACCGACTAGTGAAACTTGAAAAAAGTTGGTTATAAAATAAGGCCTAGAGTACAAAGTCAATATTTTGTTCAAAAACTGTATGTACAACTTCTAAAAAAATGTTTGGAAAGTTAGAAACTAAAAAAGTAAGTGATGGCTATTTCCCAGTATATTACAGGTGATTTTATTCTTCTTGTTTATATTTTGCTCTACAAATGAATGTCCCACAAGAAGAAGTGATTGTTTTTATAATCATTAAAATTGAAAAATCTATTTCTGACTATTAAACTGTCATTGCTACAGGATGTCTACCATAGCCCAGAGTGGGTTATGTAAACTAAAGGGTGCAAAGGCTGCTTCAGAGTATTTTGCTGGGTATGTTTCAGCTGCTCTGACGTCTTTCCCCACCATTCTCCTTCCTATTTGTAGCTAGAAGATGAAATTACAACATTACGACAAGTTTTATCAGCAAAAGAAAGGCATCTGGTTGAGATAAAACAAAAACTCGGCATGAACCTGATGAACGAATTAAAACAGAACTTCAGCAAAAGCTGGCATGACATGCAGACTACTACTGCGTAAGTATATTAGCAGAATATTAACAAATTATTATGAACCTGCTGACTCTCCATTCTTCTATTTTTTTTTTTCTCCAAGGCTGACTTGGTACTATGGCTGAAAAAAAAAATGCTTTCTCTAAAAGTGAGGAAACACCCCTCCCCCCATAATCATTAAATATGTTGCATGTGAAGCAGACTCTATAAAGTAACTTAATAAAATTAAACTTTGTTCACTAAAATCGTATTTTCACTCAGACCACCTTTATGGAGTTGTATGTTAAAACTTTTTTCTCTTTACTATATATTTTAAAGCATTTGCTTAATTTGTATGTTTTATGTTTTTTCAAAAATTGTAAATGGACAAAGAGAGGCCTGGTAGTAGGAAGAGGAACCGCAGTGGATAGCAATTATTTCAGTTTTGCTAGGGGCCATCTTTGCCTCCTCGCTCCTGAGAACTAAGGTCTCTGACCTTTTGTTCCTGGGTGAAGGTGCTAAAAGGAGTTAGCTGTTTCCCCACTGTGGTTCATTAAGTTTCCATCTGAAAGGAGAATGTTCTCTCCCCCAGAACAGCTTAGTTCATAGCCATCCTATGGGCGGCTATGCCTGTGCACCCCAAGGCTCATGCAGACAGGCTCGGGGCACAGCCCAGAGTGGGACAGGGTGGAGCCAGGAAGCCGGCTGTTTATTATCTGCAGAGGCTAATAGCCAACCTTCCCCAACCAGATGAGGACAGTTATAGAAGCAGATAAGACACCACGCATTGATGTTTATACATTTCAAATACATATTGCAACCCCATAAGAACAATCTCCTAAAAAATCATAGCTGGATTTTAGGCATTCAGTTAAATTGAGCTGATCTGTCAGTGGTTTGGCCTATGTCTCTGTACAAAGGTGGCCTACCAATGAACGGCCCTGACAGCATGAGGTGGGACAGCCTCCAGTTCCTTGGGCCTGGCCACCTCTGTATTTAGTCCAGGCCTGGAGGCTTCATGTCACACTGACCTGAACTTCCTTCTGGCTGTGAGAACCAGGCTGGATCTTTCTGCCTGGCCTCCCTAACCACGCTGCTGGGATAAGCTAATCTAACTGAGAGCCCGGCAATCCTGGCTAATCCTGTTACTCAAGGCGGGGCGGGAGGGAGCAGGGAGATGGGCAGAGGTGTCGCAAGCTGGCTCTAGGTGCGATGGGGCAGGGTGGGCGGTGGGGCAGTGAGGGGAGAGGGTCAGTCCTCGTAGGATCTGGAATTGAAGCAGGCAAGTTCCAGGGAGGCTTTTATCCTCTTCACATAGAGGAGAATATGTAGTTTGTATTTTTCCCATGTTTGAAAAACAAATTGGTTTTATAATCAGGCATCCTACTTAGTATCAAGTTTTTGTTGAATGAATAGAATAAACTTACTCTCTGGTGTATGGAGTTTTATAGTCTAGTCACGAAAACAGAATTTTGTTTTTGTTCTTGTTTTATCTTATAAGTTATTACAAACTACCATTAAAAGTTGAGTGTGAACTACAGGGTATCGTCGGGCCAGAAAGCAGAGTGAACCTTGCTGGGCTCCTAGCGACGACTTGCCGAGCAAGAGACATCTTGGCAGAACTCTGAAGGAGGACTCGGAATTTTCAGGCCACGGGGCCAGGAGTGGCCTCCTCGGGGAGGCCCGGCCTGGGGAAGGCCCACAGGAGAGGAGGCTCCTCACAAGGGAAAGTGGTCCAGTTACTTGGTGTTGGGGAGGTGACAGGGAGAAGTGGCCTTGCGGCACCTGTTAATAGAGTTATTCTTTATCCACAGGCAATCAAAAGCCATTAAAAGGGTCATGACAGTTCATTTATCCAACCTTAATGAGGGTCTACTCTCAGGCATTATTACCCAGAGGCTCATCTAAACCCACAGGATATAGGCTTCAACGAGATGGACAAAGTTCCTACTCTTTGTGTGTTGAAAGGAAACAAGGAAATACAGTACCAGGAAGTGCTATGATGTAAATAGCATAGGGTGATGACTTGGAGGAGAGGGGAGAAGCTGCTGTGATTGGCCTCGAGTCAGGGAAATCCTGTCCTGGGAGGTTACTTTGTGCTGAGACCTGAATGAGGAGGAAGAACCTCTTGTGATATCTGAGTAAGAGCTTTCAGGCAGAGGCAAGAGTTTCTGTAAAGGCCCCAAGGCCAGAACAAGCTTTACTGGTTTCAGGAGCCCAGAGAAATTGCTGTGTCTGGAGTGCACAGAGAGCAGAGGAGGTCAGAGCCCCTCGGGCCTCCCAGGCCATGGGGACGAGTGCGGCTTTTCCTCCAAGGGCTCAGGTCCTATTGGGGAGTTTGAAGCAGGAAGGGACCTGTTCTGACTCATCTTTCAGAAAGGTCACTCTTTCTGAAATACAGACTGTGGAGAGGCAGAAGTGGAAACGGGAAAATCATTTCTGAGACTACCACAGTCGTCCTGGTGGTGACAATGGTGAGGGCGAGTTGCGGACTGGGAAGGGATGTGGGGGTCAGGCCAATGGCACTTCCCAATGGTTGGGAGGTGGGGAATGGAGGAAGTAGAAGCATCAACTGTGACTCAGGTCTTTCACTTGGGCTACTGGGTGAATATGGGCACTGTTTCCCACAGTGGGAGTATAGCATTGTGGTTAAGCCCATGGGCTGTGGACTCCAGTAGCTTGGGTTGAAATCTAGGTCTCCCTGCACCTGTGGAAAGAGGTCATATTAGTACCTATTTCATAGGAAGTGAGGATTCAATGAGTTAATATTTATGCAGCATGTTGGACCATGTGTGACACTTTCCAGGCGTGTTCACTGTTCTAGGAAAGACTGTGACAGATCTGGTGGGGAGACCCAGGAATTGTTTTGGCTGTATAAAGTCTGAAATGTCCAGTAGACAAACAAGTTTATATATTGAGAGGGCAACTCAGAGGAAAAGTCAAGGACAGAGGTGGATATTCGAGAGTCATATGCATCCTAATATCTTGAAAGCTATAGGACTATATAAGATTTCCTCAGAGATTATTTAATAAATACAGGTAGGTATGGATTCACTAACCTTGAGGGATGATGTGAACTTTCATTTGCAGGAAAGAATCAATCCCTTTCTTAAGAGGGAGACATTTGCTTATCAACAACATAATTTTGGGGAGAGCATTTTCCTCCCACACTTTTTTTCTTGTCTGCTGAAGGAAGGGGAAAAGTCTTAATCACATGTGGAGGTGGGGTGGGGGGATAACCAAATCTATTTTCTCCATTAATTAACTAAGTTCCTGCTGTTAGTGTCCATGATACCCATTCCGGGACAAGCTTTTCACCTCATACAATGAAAGTTTTGGTGTGAGAGAATTGGAATGGGACTAGGTTGGGTAGAATTCGATTTTAAAGCACTAAAAAGAATATTAGCTATCAGAGAATTGCCAGCGATTCCTAGAGGCAATCCTTTGCATACTGATTAGGCAATCACGAAGTATTTAGTTTGATTTATAATGAAAAAAAAAATTTGTGGTAGGTTAATGAAAGATCTTAGCATATTTTAGTCTTTGATAGGATTCAAATTAGAATAGGACTGGATGAGTAGGAATAATTGCACAGTAGACTGAAATTATTTACCTTCTAGAAAGAGCCATACAACAGCAGGTCCTAAGAGATCACCTGTGTCCAGAGTGTGCTGTTGCTGTTGTTTTTGTCATAGTTTTTTACAGTCCTTAATTTGAGAGAATCCAAGAGAAGGCATAAAGTATTTCCCTGTCCTTTTTTTTTTTTTTTTTTAATGATCTCTGCTGCTTTTTTTATGTTGTCTTTAGGCTTCCAAGGAGGCATAGGGGAAGCTTTGGGGCCTAGCTCTGGGGAAACCACTGGAGAAGATATTGAATCTCTCTGTAGGTAGAAGGAGTAAGGATTCAGAAATGCAGCATTGTGGTGAGCCATTTAATCTGATAATACTTCATTTTAGTTAGTGTTCCACCTTTGCTGACCCATGGCATTCTTCTATTGATAAACCCCTCTGAGTTGTACCACAGACCAAATGAGAGGTCTGCAAAAAGGGGAAGGTTTTGGAATGGAATTCATTCCATGCCATCTTTTTGGAAAGTTATAAAGAAGAACAAAACTCTAACATTGAGCATTTAAAAAATTGCACGGTGCTTGAAAATTAAAGTCCAGCTTTTGACTTTGATTTTGTACTTCCAAGACTTCCATGCCATTGTCAGTAACGATTATTATCTTTTTATGGGGAGCCTGTTGGAGCACCATTGAGTTCAGAAGTGCCAGCAAAGATCAAAGACCTAATTTTAAAAGACGCACGTAGCCTGTCTCTCACAGTTGTTCGTTCTTCTTACCTTTTGGCTTTCATCTTATTGTGCAAAGCAGGAAATAGATTCTGTTTTTCCAGATTCAAAATGCAACTCTATGTTTTAATAACACATTTAGAGAATCTTTGGAAAAAAATAAGCCTCAATATTTTTGTATTTTTGGTGAAAAATACAGATGCAACCATTAAAGTAATGCTCTCTTTTAAATTCCATAAAACAAAATATATTTAGGCTATAAAATACCTTCTTGCAAAAAGATTACTGAATTTTTATTTTTCCTTCATTTGTGTGCAGAAAAATGCTTTAAGGCAAAACGTTTTAAAAAAAGACATGCTTTCCCCTTTTGATTATATTTTATAACACTGACTTTCAAATTAGTAAGACATGACAAGAGGAATCTGCATGAAAAAACAGTAAGATACCTTTTATTTGGCCTGCAGAGACCCTTACCTCCCATACCAAAGATCCCCTTGTCAGTGTGCTGGCCAAACAGCTAAGCTGCTCTGGCCATTAAATGCTATTCATTGCTTGAAGAAGGTGTACATCGCACAATGAAGCATTATTCAGCCATAAGAAGGAAATCCTGCCATTTGTGGCAACATAGATAAACCTTGAAGGCATTATGCTAAGTGAGACAAGTCAGAGAGAAAGACAGATACTGCATGGTATTGTTTATATGTGGAATCTAAAATAACTCTCAGGCTCTTGGTAAAAGAGTGGAAGAGGTGGTT